TTTTTTTTTTTTTTTTTTTTTTTTGTCTATATGCTTTGATTTAGTCATCTAGCTAGCTTACATTTGTATCAAATGATACCTTGTTAGTCGAATAACGACTTAAATAATTGAAATTTACTGATTGCACGATGAGGTGGGAATAATAATCATCTTATAATTGAAGTGGGACCAAAATGCATGTTCATTTTGGCGAGAAGCAAAGCCCAATCATGGCTCTGCCTCTGCCGACTCTATTTGTTTGTCAAGAATCTATCATTTTCCAATTCAAATTTGTATTGGATTGTTATTATTAGAAAGAAAATCTAGAATCTTAGATTCCATACTAATATCTTTGTTTGGTTTCATATTTGGAAGGAAGTAAACTTATTTAAATACTATTTTAGATTCTATACTCTTTAAATTTGGATGACTTTATTTTGTTTATACTCTTAAAATGCTCATTTTGATTTTGATTCATTTGTTTGTTATAGCTCATGTACTTTCAAAATGTCAGTTTTGATCTCTTGACGTTTTAATTGTTTTGATCTATCCAATATGAAAATTGTTTAATACAAATTTATGGAAATACAAGGATCAAAATGGTCACTTTTACAACAAAATCATTATATTTCATTGATTATTTACATCATAGTGTTCATATTTTACTCATATCTGATGCAAATTTTTTGGGCATTAGTGTTTGACTTTGAACACATGTTTATAGATGCAAGAGCTCATGGCTACACATATTTCAAGAAGGCAATTGAGTTGCTGATTCTTTGGCGTCTAGGAGTCCTCCAAGCATTGTCTCTCCTACCTGAAGGTGACCTCTTCTAAATTCCTGCTAACCTTTTTGTAGCTTGGTTTTCTAGCTCTTGATTATTTATTTGGTATTTTATAACCCGTTTTGAACCTACTAGTAGTCCATTGGTGGTACTCTTAGCCTCGAGTGAATCTTTTATTTTTCGATGTGTAATTTTTTAAGATTTTATTGGATCTCATAGTCTTTTCGAATATATTTTCTTTATATCTTCGAGATAGATGATGAAGTTGTTATTATTGAATTATTATAGTTGAAATGATTAGAAGAATCTATTAGCTCAAGCTTACTAATAATTTAAGAGAACAAATTATTTTTTTTTATCTATCAAAACTTTCAATTATTATAAATATCTTTAATTTAGCTTTTTGAATATGTTTGGGACATTACGATAAAAGATGAGCCTAATTTATGTCTGTTTATTTACAAAATTTTCGTCTACGAATTCGAAAATTTGAATGTGTGTATCTTTGATCTGATGAGTCAAATCTTAGACGTTTATATTTAATCGTTTTAGATCTGAATCGAGACCCCGATCCCTAATTTTAAATGCTTTATAAGTTTGGTTTTTCCTTTTCCATTTTGAACAGTGAGAAAGACAATTTAAAGGGGGAAAATCTGTCACCAAATTAGATGGAATTATTTAAATAATTTAAATCATGTTTTCCCAACCATTCTCTTAAATAATTGTAGTAAGACGGGGAAAAACTATTCTCAAATAATTGAAGCAAACAATAAATACTTTCACTTCTTTTACCTAATTGAACCTATAATTTATAGAAATTTCATGCTTTATAAAGTTCTAATTCAATTATTCATTAGTCTCATAATAGGTTCCAAAGTACATATTTTTTCAACAAATAATCTTATTATTACCAAGTTTTGTTTTTACCATATTTTGTTAAATCGAGCGTGGCATAAAATATACACTCTCGATTATGAAGTCAGATGTTCAGATTTTTTACTATCCTTATCGATGAACATACTAGACTATACCTAGAACGAAAATTTTAAATCACGACCTATTATAGGTCACCGTCACATATTTATAAGTCCCATCTTTCGAATGAATTTTCAAAAAGTTTGTACTTTAAAGGTAATTTTGGGACGTTTATAATTTCTAATAATATTTTAAAAATAAAAGGTAGAATCCCATGTTTATAAATTATTTTTCATGAATTTGTCACTAAGGTATTATCATTTTTCTAAATTAAATTTTCTCACATAAATGGTTCAAATATATCATTTTTAAAAAGTTGGATTTCCATACAAAGTTTAAAATTTGTTTTAACAAAATAAAAGATAATAATATATCATTAAAATCCATAAATATTTTTTTGGTGGACGTTTTAATTTTCCATAAATATATTAATTTTTGATCATCCCAAAATTTCCATCAACCAATAAAAAAAAAACAAAAGAAAGATAATAATTTAAACAAATAAAATAAACGACAAAATCTCGTTAATTAAAAAAAAAAAAGGAAATAAAAACCAACGGTCAAGATATGATCCATTTTTAAAATTTTTATCCATGGGTAGATTAGAGTTTCACACTTTTTTTCAAAATTTTATTTTATTAATTTTAAATTTTTGACTTGGTGGGACCCACCTCGGAGTTGGGTTTCTTCTCTTTGGGGCAATATGGGTGAAAGCACAAAACCTTCCTTGGAGCCTTCAATTCCTTAAATTTTTCCACGAACACTGGTTTTTAAGCTTCTCTCTCTTTCATTCTGCCATTTTTAATGCTCCAAGTACTTCTTCTCTACCGCCTGAAGAACTCCATTCCTCACTGCTTTCTTCTCTCTGAAACGAACCTTTTGGTCAATTTTTGTACCCTTTTCGTTAGATCTGTGTTTTGTGCTCTTTTTTATTCGTTCTGGCTGTTTTTGGTTGCGAACTTGCGATTTGGAAATGGGATCTGTTTGCTGAGAGGTACGTGTTTAGTTTCCATTACAATGGCTGATTTTTTTTTTTTTTTTTTTTTTTTTTTTTTTTTTTTTTTTTTTTT